AGCGACTGACTCAGAGAAACCCCATCCTTAAAGAAATGGGGTTAGACATGCACAAGGGTGCTTAATCTTATATATCTTAGTTTTTGAATCGAGACGACCTTATCTCTCTTCCTCAAAGCCAATAGATTAAAGAGACGGCCATCGCCAAGATAGTGAAATTTGAGAAACATCGGAAGATTTTGTAAAGTAAAATATATGCATTACAGCCTATAAAGTATTTAAAGGGTTTGGTTGTATGTGTAAATTCTTCTCACTACTATGACATAAGTAGGCATTAACTAGATTAGGTCACTCCACGAAATTTCCCTGTCTTGGGTGTGTATACCTAACTAGTATAAGTATTTATTTATGGGCAATGGAGTAGGCACATTCATAGTGGTTGGTTCTCTTATATCATGAACAAATTAATCTAATGAACCTTCTCTCAGTCCTTACTAATCTTATTGACCTTCCTCAGCTTCATTTGATTCTCAACATAAACAATAAATTCATTAGTGAGAGTGAATTCATAAACGACACATTCATTGGGCGTTACGTAAAAAATCATATGTACATGACGTGTAATCTTATCAAGAAGTTTGTTTTTTATCAGGTTTTTATCAAGAAGTTGCTTTAGAGTTCCTATCACTTGCATTGGCGATCAAAATCTTAGAGGCCACATTTGCTATTAAACAATGTGAGTCATCCAATAACAATTCAATGTGCTTTGTAATACTATTGGATCGAGAATAATATTCTCTATAGAACTTATTAGGAATCTGATAACTCAAAAGAAAATGGAAGGCCAAAGAAACCCTAGTTTAGGGCTTTGACACTGGCTTTAGGGTAGCTTTAGTGAATGAGTTATGTTGTATATTGCTTTAGAAAATGCTATGTGTAATGTCAAAATAATATATATTTTTGTACTATAGTACCTTGGAAAATGTTTTATTTTGTCTTTTTTTTGTAAGGAGAGAAGTAATGGCCTATTTATCTTGAAGAATGGAACGAGGGAAGCCTTTTTCAAATATGAGTTTATCTTTTCATTTTTGTTATAAGAACCAAAGCGAGAAAAGGTCTATGTGGAACACACGAAGTCTGTGAATGTGCACACACATGTGCATGTGCAAGAGTGCAAAGGTAATTGATGATGCATTTTACAATTATGCCCTACCAATAAAGATGCAAAGTTCCGGGGATTGGTGTATTCCGATGTTTTGTGCCCTATTGGTTCAATGGATTGGTGCACTCCAGTGATTTGTGCCTTATTGGTTCAAGTGGATTGGTGCATTCTAGTGATTCGTGCTCTAGTTCCGATTGATTGGTGCACTCCAGTAGCTATGTGCCCCATTAGTGAAGACGCGCAGCTCCGGTGGATTGGTGTGCTCTACTACTTGTGCTCCACCAGTAAAGATGTATATATAGAGCATGACGGTTGCTCTTTCGAATCCCAAAGGGACACCCTGTGCTATTGACTTGCATGTTAGTTGCAATGGATGGACCATTTTGATGGTTCAGATTTGAAGAGACATAACTCTTCACCCAATACGCACTTGAACAGTCATACGGAGTGGTTAAAATGGTACTTGTTTCCTTCAATTTGCACATATATGAAGTTTTTTGTGTATTTTAAAGTGTTTTTTACGAGAACTCACTATCTAGATAGAGATAACTTTAGTGCTCAAGATCTCTCTGCACTTATGTAATTGCATTTGTGAGATAGTTTTTACGATACTTTACTTTAGTGTTTACAATACTTTACTTTATGTATCCTTGCCTGGTGAAACTTAGATGCACTGATGCTTATTAGTAAGGGGCAAATGTTTTTTTTGAGAAAACAATCTATTGTGCCTTGAATAAGTGAGATTGGAACTTCTTTTGTTCATAATTTGTTTTGACCTTCTATTTCCAACAAGTTAGACCCTTGACATGATGCCTTACCTTCATTGTCTATCCTTTATTTCCCATATAACAGGTGGTTAAAATTTGATAGGGTGGAATGAATCTGGCGAAAATGGAATGAGGCTTTTAAGGGTGAATTGAACACTTGCATCCATTTAGCATGTAGTGGAATGACAATAACCATTCTTTGATTCCCTTGATATTGCGTGTTATATGGGTGATTACAAGTCTTGCAGCATTTAGCCCCACACATGGGCATCTTCAGAGTAAAAGACAAGCAAATATTGTAGTCTTGTTTAAGGCATTAAACAACCCCAATTTGCGCATTAGATTAGCATAAGAAAGGGTCAACCTCATCCCCCAAGGGTAACGATGTTACAGGTTTGGATCCATTCAATGGTTAGTTTGGCAAAATGTCCCTTGGAAACCACCAAGATTCAACTCTTAATAATAGTAGCTTTCTTCTAGTGTCATATCCCATATTGGGACTTTATTACAGGAGTACCATATTTCTAAAAGGAAAACTAGTTTGTGTAGCTATTGCTCTATGTAATGAAGCATAAATAATACATATTTAAGATGGACTTCATAAAATGGCCCCTTCACTAAAATATAGAATGGATGGTGTAAAAGAAATTCAAAAAATACATTTTTTACTTCAGTTTGTCATTTCTTTTTTAAGAGAGCACATATATTATGCTCTTGTTGGAGCATACTGTCTACTCCATTGGTCAAAAGACTCACTTGGGAGGATTTTCTTAGTCTAAATATTTTTGAAACCACCTAAGAATCAGTAGATGATTATTTTCTAAATAAAAATATAAATTTTGAGTTTTTTGACCCTTAGATATTGCTCTTCAAAAGTTGGACGGTATCTACTCAATCTTGAGACATTATTCTTTTTTTTAGTACATAGAGAGTTCAATTCAAAAACGATTTCTACAAAAGTTAGTCTACGACTTGAAGAGGATGTATCCCCAAATTTCGGGGTCCCAAAATTACTCATCTATCCGGTATTTACACAAGGGAGTAAATGGACAAGGTACTCCTGCTGTATAATAACTTTTGGCTTTTTAATATTCATGATCACCATGTTTTAAGATTAGGAAAATTGTTTGGTGCGTCGACCAACTCACACTATATCCCTACAAAATATATCTCAAAGATGTATTTTCAATTAAAAAGTTTAGAGTTCAATAATCTCAACCACGACAATGATCTAAATTTCAAAATTTTCTTTTTTAAAAAATATAGATATTATTTTTGAATTCCTCTCTTCACCGTTCATTTTAACTTTTAGTGGATGTAATATTTTTTAACATCCATCTTAGAAATGGATGTTAAATAGCTAAGGGATCACACGATAATAGGTGAGTAGGTTGACTCACAAAAATTGTATCGTTTAGATTAAACTTTTGAACAATTGTTTCATGTGGGCTAGACCACATTTCTACATTATGCAGTCAACGGTATAAAGCATCCATCATAAAGATGGACACAAATAGGTGGTCCATCTAAAAACAATTGTAACTAACGGTCCAACTATTTTATTAATATAATTATTGTGTCTTGTTTTTATATATATATATATATATATATATGAAAAAAGCTGGGATTAGCCCACTAGCTCATATGAACATACGAGCCCAACGGCCTAGATTGAATCTAGGTTGATCTGATGATCATGAGTGTATTTTGAGTTTAAATTTTAGTTTTTTTTCTACAAATCCAAATCACTTGAAATTTTAGGCGTGTGTACTTCTCATCAAGGCGCACGTAATAAAAATATAAAAAAAATTATTCGTAAAATAAAAAGACAAAAATACTCTCGAAACATTTCGAGGGTATTTGGTCAATTTATTTTATGTAAACTATTCACTAGGTCATATGTACATATGGATCAATCACGTTTCATCCTAACATAAATATCAAAGAAAAAAACCACATGAGTGACTGCTTCATCGAGCTCTTTGGAGCATGATGCTCCAAGATGATCTGCTATTGGTTGGGAAAATTCGACTGAAAACCAACCTGCATCACAAATCGTAACTTATTTCTCCTCTAAAGGAAGCACAACATCCTCTCACAAATCCTAACTTATTACCCAACTTGAATTGATTTCATTATGTACATAGTGTAGAGTCAATCACTCAATGCAATGTTCAAAAGCCTGTTAACATAGACCCTATTGCCACTCAGAAATTCCGGCTGAAGAGAGTCAGAGTCAAACTAAAATTTCCATCAGCAAAATAGAACTACCAAAATGTTGGAAAAGACAGTAGTATTTTTCTCACTAGATCAAATAGGCTTAAATATAGATCATTCGGGGGTAGAAATTGTGTTATGCCAGTGAAACGAAGATTTCACAGCATTTGCATTTCAAACCAATGAGCCATTGACACTTAGAAAACTTGTACGCAACTTACAAACGTAGTTCATTTCAAGCATTTTCATTTCAAATAGATTTCACAGCATTTTCAAGCATTTTCATTTCAAACCAAAAAGAAACAGATACTAATGCTATTCAGCAATATCCATAGTGTCAAAACCAATCCCTACAATCAATCACTATACAACAAGCAAGCAATCACTACAATTCATAGTGCTCCTTAAGATGAATTTGCACTGTTAGCAGTTCATATTACAATTAAAAGTTCTACAATTATAAGTAAGCTCTACTACATCCAGAATTAAGAATCTTGTACAATGAAAATTCAAGAGATACTAATGCTATTCAACAATAGCCACAACGTCAAAACCAATCCCTGCAATCAATCACTATACAATAAGCAAGCAATCACTACAATTCATAGTGCTCCTAAAGATGAATTTGCACTGTTAGCATTTCATATTACATTTAAAATTTCTACAATTATAAGTAAGCTCTGCTACATCCAGAATTAAGAAGCTTGTACAATGAAAATTCAAGAGATACTAATGCTATGCATTATTACTTTGCACGAATGAATGATGGACAATTCCGTTTGTCGTGCCCACTGCCCTTGCACACTGCACACTTCACACTTCCTGGTCTTTTCCTTTGACGTATTGGTATTTTCCTTCGGCTTCCACTCTTCTGATCGAGCTTTCTTTCTTTTATTGGTAGGTCTTCCCTTTTTTCATGCTTGTGGAGGCTCAAGGATATTTTGGCAATGTTCACTTTCAATTGGTTTGTCACTACAACTAGCTGCATTCTCATCGATATTAGCATTTGCTTCAACATTACCATACTCTTCAGCATTGCAATTGATTGTGACATCATTATGTGGACCTCCCTTATGCCCAAATTGGCTATCAACCTGACAAATTCCGCTGCGTAATATGGCCATTATAAATTCATGGAGCTCTGTACTCTCTGATACACGCTCGACGAGGTATCGAGTTGCATGATAGACCTCATTATATCGAATGGAGCGTGGTAGTTGAGATGTTTCTTGAATTTGATTGCCACTCTCATCTATAAAAACCCCATTTTTTATATCCTTTCTCCAATGCCTCATTATGTATTGTGGGGGTATTTCAAATACATTCTTCACCTCTTCTCCAAATCGCTTCATAATCTTTTGAGTATAGATCTTTGCTGTCTGGGCCTCAATAAAAGAAGTTGTTCTTAATATTGGAGTAGTATCAATATCTCTTAAGTCCTTTTCCCTTTCCTTTCGTACCTTCTTATCTTGCACCTTTGTCGTCACTTCCAACAATGTACGTAAGCTTGTTGAAGAGGCTATGTACATCTTGAAGTGCTTATTCATCTCTTCACTCCTTTAAGTGGAAGTCATACTCGCTGTAAACATGTCACTCAAGTATGCATCGACCCATTGCATGCGACAACTATAGAGCCTAGTAAGCCACTCATTACTTTCCAGGCCATAATTCTTAATCATATTTATCCACCCCAATTCAAATTCTTCCACTGTTGCACTAGCCACACAAGTCCTGAAGGTTTCTGAAAAATTTGGATGGATGCCCAAGACATGGCAGATTTTTTCTTTAATTTTTGATAGTATATGCCACTTACAATAATGATGCTTATTTTGGTCTAAAACTCGTCTCATTGCATTCAAAATTGCAGGGTCTTGATCAGTGAGAATAACTCCAGACTGACGTCCCCCCATAGCTTCTAACCAATTTTCAAATATCCATACAAATGATTCGACATTCTCATTAAAATGAGCACAAATCCAAAGAAAGTTGTACTGTGATGGTGATTTACACCAAGAATGGGTGCAAATAGCATACCGTAGGTGTTTGTTTTGTACGTTGTATCAAAAGTTACCACATCAGAGAAGCACTGGTACGAAACTCTAGAAAATGCATCTACCCATAAGACGCTCAGGATGTGATTGTCTTAATCTAGTTTCACTTTATAAAAATAAGATGGGTTCAATTCTTTCATTTTATAAAGCCATTGCATAACAAGACTTCCATCCTCCTCTTAGTTTTCTTTTGGAGTTGGCAATTACATTTTGGATGTATTTTTGTGTACAATAAACATTATCAATCCCTCCAGATTGCTCTATAAAAATGTAATGAATATTTTTGGTTGTACCAAAGAAAGATGGGACGATCCGAGTGTGTGTCGACTACAAAGACTTAAACCAACCATGTCCAGAAGATAATTTTTCCCTACCAAATATGGATGCCTTGGTCGAGAAGGGGCATGACATGTTGTCGTTCATGGATGGCTTCGCGGGTTTCAACCAAATCTTCATGGCAAAAGAAGACCAAATTAAAACATTGTTCATAATGCAATGAGGAACATATTGCTACCATGTCATGCCCTTTAGCCTAAAAAATGCAGGGGTAACTTATCAACGAGCAATGACTAGCATCTTCCATGACATAATGCACAGCATCATGGAAGGCTCTAGTCAAGTCAAAGGCCAGGTCCAATCACCTCACTAACTTGAGAACCATTTTCGAAAGACTTCGAAAACATCAACTCAAACTCAATCCACAGAAATGTGAGTTTGGAGTTGAATCCGATAAATTACTAGGCTTTATAGTAAGCCAAATGAGCAATGAGGCAAACCCGTCCAAAATATGGGCCATCACCAAAATGCCCCCTCCTCAGAACATCAAAGAAATTCGCATATGGCATTTTATCTCACAACTGACAGACAAGTGCGCACCCTTCAATAGGCTCCTTAAGAAAGATACCCCATGTGGGACAATGAATTCCGAGAGGTGTTCGACAAAATCAAGGAATACCTAACCAAACCTCATGTCCTTAGTCCTCCTAATCTAAACAAACGGCTGCTCCTATACATATTTGTGAAAGAAAAAACCATGAGAGCAATGTTTGGACAATATGATGAACATGGAAAAGAATAAACCTGTACTTCATTAGCGAAATCACGGTCGACTATGAGACGAGATACAAAGATGTAGAGAAGCATTGTTTAACACTTCTGTGGGCAATGAAAAAATTAAGACGTTATGTATTATCTCATACAGTCAAGCACATCTAAAAAATAGATCCACTCAAGTACCTATTGGAAAGACCAGCCCTTAATGAACATTTAGCAAAGCGGAGAACAAGTTTGAGATCGAATGTCACTGAAAAATCGATCCAAGGACAAGTCATTGTTGAACACTTAGTTGAACACGCACTTCCATATAACACTCCCGTTAACACGGATCTCCCTAAAGATGACATCTTCACAATTGAGGACTCAACTTGGGAGCTATATTTTGACGGTGTAAGGACTAGATACGGGTCAGGTGTAGGGGTTATATTATGCTCACATGAAAATATTTTAATGCCAACAACCATCATACTGAATTTCTCATGTACTAATAACATTGCTGAATATGAAGCCCTGATAGCCAGGCTCGAGAATGCCATAGAACTAAAAATCTAGCAAATACGAGTCATTGGTGACTCTCTGCTTGTCATAAACCAAGCTCAGGGGATTTGGAATGTTAAAGAAGAAAAGCTCAAACCCTATAAAGAAAAGGTGAAAAAGATGAGAAAATATTTTAAGCAAATCACCTTCCAACATGTAACTAGGAAAAACAATCGGTTCACCAACACCCTTGCGACCCTTGCTTTGATGGTCGATATCCCTTTAGAAGTCACCACGCTGTCATTTTACATCAAGCACAAACATGACCCTTCCCCACCAAGGATCGAAAAGAAGTAGAACAAGAAAATGAGAACAATGAGGAAGTGTCTTTTGTGACCTCAGATGCGATAGTCTAGGCAAAACCATGGCTCCACGACTTGTTGTCATTGTTGAAAGATGAGTCATATCATTACAGAGCCACCAAAAAAGAGAAGGAATCCCTCCGAAGGTTTTCTATGAGTTTCATAATAAGAGATAATCTTCTGCTCAAGAAATCATTTGATGGTGTCATCTTACGGTACCTCGATCAGCCAGAAATCGACTAGGTATTAATAGAATTACACAATGAATGTGGTCATTTTAAGGTAGCTGCCTTAGCTCAGAAAATCAGACGCAAAGGCTATTATTGGACCACAATGGCCAATGACTATTGGAAAATTTGTTAAGAGGTGTCCCAAGTGTTAGTTTTATGGAGACCTCATCTATGCACCGTCTACACCACTTAACTCAACACTACCCGTATGGCCCGTTTCCATGTGGGATCTTGATATTCTCGGAATGATTTCATCAAAAGCCTCAAATGGCCACCGTTTGACTACATAATACTTCAGAAAATGGGTAGAGGCTGCATCATTTCTAAAAATTAAAGGTCAGCAAGTTGCCCGTTTCATAAAAAATAACATTGTATTCAGATTTGGCGTTCCAGAATCAATCATTACGGACAATGAAACCAACTTCAAAAATGAAAGGGTCACTAAGGTGTGCAAAAGGTTTGGGATAACACATAAATTCTTCACACCTTACTACCCTCAAGGAAACGGATAAGCAAAGACCACAAACAAAGGACATCTCAGAGTTATAGACAGAATGATAGCAGGTGGCAAAGATTGACACGAAAATAAAAGTTAAATGATGTGTTATGAGCCTATCGAACAAATGAGAAGACTCCTACTAACATGATCCCATACTCGTTAGTGTATGGTATGGAAGCTGTGCTACCCATTGAAGTTGAGATACCATCCATCTGAGTGCTCATTCATAATGATTTAGATGACGAACAAAAGATCGAAGCGCAAGTCGGTGCCCTCGATACGTTTGATGAAAGACAACTGTGAGAAACATAAAATATCGTAGCTTACCATCGTAGAATCGAAAGGGCATACCAAAGTAAAGTTGTTCCCTTACAATTTAGAGAAAGAGACATGGTACTTAAGATAATCTTTCATGCTCCTGCAAATCCTCACCCATTAGGTGAATTTAAACCTAATTGGGAGGGACCATTCATGGTAACCCGAGTGCATGCAGGCAATTATTAGAAAATAAAAAATCAAGAGGGGTATGAACTCAACGACCTCATTAATGTGATGTATCTCAAGAAATAATACCTGTAAGAAGTTCAAAAAACAAAGAAAAAAAAAGGACGTGGTGAAAACCCAACGAAGGCACCACGGGTCAAAAGGAAAAAAAAAGAAAGAAAATAGTGAAAATAAAGGATGTGGTGAAAACTCGAAAAGGACACCATGAGTAAAAAAAAAAAATCTCCAAAAAGGAGCCTCGGATCCAAAACCTTAAGTACAAACAGTTACTTACAATCTACAACAATATTGCATAAGCAAACCCTGAGGATGGAGACTCCTCCTAATCCCTACAGGTTCCCAACATAACCAACCTGGGAAGATATGGCAAGGTGACTTGAATTGGAGACTCGAAAAACTTCAACGTACTCTGGGAAGAACATCGAGACCTCTCCAAAAAGGAAGCCCAACAAGAGCCTAACTGCTCATAGTTTTGCGAAACACAAAATATGAGCTCCAAAGGCCAAGGGAAACTTCAAGCATCTTGGGCTCTTACGATCTCACAAGGAAATCCATGTAATCATCTTTAAATAAGTGAATAAAAAAGAAATAAAGAAAATTCTAGATACCCCATTTTAAATCTGGTAAATTCTATAGTTTCCTGAACCCATAGGATCACACTTAACCTCGTAAACCCAAATCCATAGTTCACACGACCTACCTTGTGACCCAAAACCAGTTTGCCTAACTGGAACCCTGTAGAAATCCTGTTGTGACCCAGACTTTTGTAAACACCCTGTTTTACCAAAACATTCATTAAAAATAGTGAAAAAAACTGTTTTGATTGAAATTTTCTCTGAGAGCTTCACAAGAGGCTGAGGAATAAACCCAAATTAAAAACATCACTTTGGACAAGTTTTAGTATGGGCGGCACGGGGCATGCTGCCCAAGCGACGCAAGGCGTGTCACCCAAGTCATCCTAAAATTGCCTTGTTTTACCAAAATATTCATTAAAAATAGTAAAAAAATCTGTTTTGACCCAAATTTTTTGAGCTTCACAAGAGGCTAAGAAACACACAGAAGTGAAAAATATCAATTTGGACCTAAGTTAGTGTGTACAACACGGGTTGTGCCACCCATATGACATGACCCATGCTGCCCAAATCTGTGACTCTCAAAATTTGACGTTTTAACCGGGGATTGGCTTGTTACGCGTGCTTATCTTTCCCAACGAGTTTTGACCCCTATAAGACCTCTTTATGTGGTCATTTGAAGGGAGATATGGAGAGAGAGAGAGAGAGAGAAAGAGAAAACCTGGGATAGAGAGATAATGATTCAGGATAGAGATAGAAAACTCAGAGAGATGAGAAACCCTAGGGATAGCTTCAG